CCCCCCCCCCCTCCCCGAGTGTCTAACGAATATCCAACTACGTAGTCCTGTCGATCGCTCAATTAAGGCTCGTGATCCGTCATATTGGGGTCACGTTGGATCGTGGTGTTAGAAGAGAGAGATCGCACGTGACTTCTCGCTCCTCAAGAAGAGATATCATGTAAGAAGAGAGAGAGAGAAAGAAAAGTTCGTAAAAAATAAAAAATATAAGAGGAGCGGAATTAACAGTTTAAATATCATTTTAGATTGCTGTAACTTTATATAGGTATTACAACATATAATAAAATTATAAATGTGGATCAAGAAATTAAGACTTCAAGAGTGGAAGTGGATGAAAAAGCGATCCGCACGCGCGTTGTTGTGACAGCTGGGGAAGCGACGCGTGGGAAGAGAATGACAGGTTCGAATCTTGCGAAATGGGGTTATGTATTAAAGAAACTAATTATTTTCACAAGGAAGTCTTTCGGGGGAAGAGAGCGATGCTTCTCTTGGAGGGAACGGTGCGGTCTCTCTATTCTGACCCTGCGAGTCCGATGATCATGACTTCGCGATGCGATGATGGACCAGAAAGCTTCAAAGGGCGTATTATCGTAATCCTACACATGCGCTGGACCGTTGCGTCGCTATTATTGTTCTTGTTGTCTTGATCGACCGCTCTTGAATCGCTCAGCACTTGGTTTTGACGCGCGCAAGGATCGCGGATGACCCTTTCGAACGTCAATGCGAGATACACTTGAATTCGTTCGTAAAAGTCTATAGATGTGTTTAGTGTCTCTCTTAAATCGGTTTCTAAACGTCTAACGATCATAAGTAAAAATGCTTATTTCTTTTCGACTTTGTACCGTGATATTAGCACTACGCGCGCCGCATCGACAGTAAATCTCTCTCTTTCTCTCTCTCTCTTCCTCACTCTCTCGCGCTATCTTTCTGTTTCTTCTCTTTTTTCTTTACGTTTTCTCGTAACTTTCTGCGTCTTCGTAAATCCGCTCGACATCGCGTTCGTGTTTCCATATAATTCTCATATTTTATCCTTATAATCAATTAAATCCGTAACAAACATTTATACTTTCTCGCTTGCGAAAGAACTATCGTGTATGTATGTATATATACGGCTATAAATCGAGCAACGCAGGAAACAATCAAGAAAACACATAACGATCGCGACATACGAGAGAGACACACACTCGCTAATTTTGGTATTTGTTATAATACCTGCGACATTGGAAACTTCAGTATCAGTCTTTTTTCACATCGCCTGAATCAAGGTCATGAGTCAGATATGAGAGAGTTTAGTATTTTATATATATATATATATATATANATGAAAGTGAAAAAGAAGAGGAGCAATTGAGGACGGCAAACGAAAGGTTGGTCACAAAGCACGACGAGTGCGGAAGTTACGTGCTCCTTAGAAAAATGATGGCTCTAAGATTCTCTCTCGGCTCGATTAACATCCAGCCTCCGGTCCAATTGTGTAGTTACGCAGATGAGCATCGATATCTCCTTCTCCTCGCGTACAAACGCGGTGTATGTACAATATAATTCTAATTGAAAAATATAACCGTCCGTGTGTGTCGCACACGACGAAAGTAATGTCACGCGAGGGACGAATGAAGTGCTCGGTGAATCCTCGGCGACGCTTGACGCTCTATGCAATTATTCGCATCGACAGTCGCGTTATCGCAACATGGTGATCGATATTCTAGGCGTATGTCCGTTATAAAGAGAGGAAAGTAATAATGAAAAGTTAGAGAAAAAGAAAAAGCGAAGCTTGTCCGACGCTACGCCGCTAAATCCGACACCGATTCGACCCGCATTTACACGCCGGGGATGCGCACATGCGTATTCGAAAGTGCGAGTGCTCTCATTATCCCCGGCTTCTTATCGCACGGCAGACGTGGCGAAAGAAAGAAAGCGGGTAAATAACGCCTCAGCACTCGAGTGCCGCCGCTACTTCGTCGTGGATACTTCTTTTGTTTTTTTTTTTTTATTCGGACAGATTCACTCGATGCAAGCGCAATCTCGTATTGATTGCGGAAGTTCGCCCGATAAGAGAAGCATCGCGCCAGGGAGATACCATGTTCGCTATATGTAACGCATATACAGACGCGACCGCGTTTAATCGCGAGATTAAGTCGAAACAATCGCCTCTCTCAGCAACCTTTTCTCTCTGATTTTAATATTTATACACGAAGAACTCGAATCGACGATAGTAGGCCGCGTGAAAAATGTTGCAACAAAGCTTATCACAAAATCTTGTAATATTAGACCATACCGAAATTGTAACTGAAACAATTGTGATATGTGTTGTAATTTTTAGCGATGTACTTTGTTGTATGCATCATTAAAGATTACAACACACATAATACTTTCAGTCATAATTCCCGACATTACAAAACCTTGTGATAATTTTTGCTACAATGTTTTCTCCGTGCATGATGAAGTCGTAAGGTAGCTACCGCGATTTGAACACGCATAGATTGATTGCACGATAAACGTAAACGAGCTCTATCTAAGACTACTTTCTTTCTCCCTCTCTCTCTCTCTCTCTCTCTTTCTCTCCCTCTCTCTTTTCTCTACTTCATTTAAATAATAAACTTCGACTCTTTGGCGCGAGAGATTTCGTTTTGGTCCATGATGACGTATACGTATATAAGGTTTCCTTTATCCGCGTCATCCTCTTTCGCGACGTCGTAGTCGGTTTCACATCGCTCTGTCTTTTATCGCCGTGAACGTCGCGGTGTTAATCCTTTTACACTCACTGGTCAATAGTCAACAGATCCTAGACATCTAAACTCTAGCGAAGCGCGCAACATCGTAACGTTAACTCTAAAGCAAGAGAGAGAAAGAGAGAGAGAGAGAGAGAAAGAGAGAGACATACGTTTCTCTCACCGTCCCCGAAAAGAATCGTTAAAGCTACCGTGAGATTCGGCTTCTCTTAGCGTGTCTCCGGCGTGACGAAGGTGAAAAGATTAAAGCGTAACCCTGTCTCTCTGGAGAATTGCTAATCGAAATCGTTATCTTCCTACGCGGTGCTTTCCTTCGTTTCTTCTTCTTCTCTCTCTCTCTCTCTCTCTCCTCTCCCTTACTCACTCACTCACTCATTCACTCACTCTATCTCTCTCCTATAATCTCTCGAGTTTTTACCTCGCTATCAATCATTGTCGCCAGAAAACATACGAGGAGCGAGTAACATACAAGGATAGGCGCGAGTAATAACAATTAAGTACAAGATCGTGTTGGTGGTGTGATGATTGTTTCTGAGGTGTGTGACGATGAGTTCGACTGTGATCCGGAAAGAATTCGTCGCTCTTCCTCCGCCGTTTTTTCGCTAAAGGTACCTTAGCGAAAGAAAACAATCGAAGGTAAAGATACTTTGTACAAAATACGATATAAGTAGCGATATAACAACACTTTTTGCAATAGTTAAATATAATATATATATATATATATATATATATATATATATATATATATATATGTATGTATATATGTATGTATATTATTTATATATGTATATCTCTATATGCATATGTATATCCCGTTATCGTTAATACACGTACGCTATGATCTCCCGTTCCACCGCCTGCCGCACAATTGTGTGATATATGTGATTATCGTTCGATTCACGCGATCCGACCTCGAACGATCGAGAAATATTTCGCGTCGTTCTCTCTCTCTCTCTCTCTCTCTCTTTTATTTTTTATTTTTTAGTAGTGTCTATCGTTCGTACGGGGTGTATTCCGTTTCTTCTTTTATATTTTTATATTTTTTAATTCGCTTCGCTACCGATTTGTGCGCCGTTTCCGAACGGCTCGATAGGGACAATATTCCTACCTCGGTAATACCATCTCCCTCCGGACATCGTCGTCCTTGAATCGATCGGACATCAAGCGGCTCCAGAATTTCGAGATTCACCTGTGGGGTGAGTGAGTGAATGGCCGAAGAGAACGAGAGGATCGAAAAATCACCGTAGGACCATCGAGGATGATCCTCCCCTCTCTGTCTCGCCCAGTTCGCGACGCGATTCCTGACCCCGGTGGTGGGATGTTGTGCAAGAGAAACGGAGGAGATGGGGCGTACACGAAGAGGGGGAAGGGGACTTCCAGTCATATGGAAACAAGAGAAAATTGTCAAGACGAGAGATCGTCATCATTTATTCGTGTGTATGCGCCACGGCTGGATATAGCTCTCTCTCTCTCTCTGTCGCGCGCGCGCGCTCGCTCGCTCTCGCTTCCACGAAGAAAAAAACAGTTAGAATTATCGATTAGAGATATGATCATTTGGTTGCTGGGTGACGGTTCTCCAAGGCACACCCATGTGTCGCGTCCACACTCCTACGGCGATATGATTATCCTTGCTAGGTTCTCGACCTCTGCGTACTTCTTTCCACATGACGAAAAGTCTGGCTTCGGCTTCTCTCCCTTTCTCTCTCTATTTTTGCTCGATGATCGCGTTGAACGGCAGACGATCGTCTGAAGCTTCTTTATTTCACGTTACAACGCGAGAGATCTCCTTCTCTCCTTCGCTCTTTTTCTCCCTCCCTCCCTCCCTATCTCCCTTCCTCTCTCTCTCTCTCTCTCTCAGGGCTTGATATAATTCACGAAGAAGGTTTTTATTCTAAGATCGAACGGAGCTCCGAATAACGCGAGATCCGAAGAGGACGAAGAGAAACTGGAAGAAACAGTCGCGGATTTACGCGATTTACGAGGTGCACACCGGCGTCCCGCGCGATCTCTGCTCGTCCGATCGCACACGCTCGAGGTATACCTCGCGGTCAGTGTCGGTGTGTTCCATCCCGACGTTGAAATACCTTGTCTCTGTGTCAGAGGGTTGCGTTGCGACGCAGCTCGGTGGGCCAAATACGCGGAGTACTTTTTCTCGCAGTATCTCTCTCACACTCTCTCTCTTTTTTCTTTGTTCAATGAATCAATGCTGCAGCGCTCGAGGATTCTACCGTCGCGGAGCAGAAGACGAAGTAGAAGTAGTAGAAGAAGAAGAAGAACGAGAAGAAGATTTCAAAAAAGGAGGATTAAGAAGAAGTTCGATGAATCTCTTACACATCGCTTGTTTTTTCTCGATCGGCCGTTCCCGATGACGACAGAATCGTCGGTATCGACTCGCAATATTCTTGGTATGGCCCCTCTCTCTCTCTCTCTCTCTCTTTGTCTCTCTCTATGTATCTATTTCTTTCTCTCTCGACCTCGAGCGGTTCCTACCAAATGCCTTTTTCTCATTCCTCGGTCGTGAGGCTCGTCCTTTTAACCTTCCAATTATTGTTCGTCCAGCAACAGTTTTCTTTTGCTATTCTTTTTATCTTTTTTCATTTTGCAGCAGCAGTAACGGTTACTATAGCGGCAGCAGCAACAGCAGCAGCAGCAGCGATGGCGGCGCACATTCGCCTCTCCGCCCTTCCGTGACACCCGACGAGATACGTACTGATTGATACAATCCGCCGCGTAAATCGTGTGTAACACTTCGTCGTAATACTGATTCACACGACTCGCGTGTGTACGTGTGTGTGTGTGTGTGTGTGTGTTATGTGTGTGTGTGTTGAGGCGCGATGGTGGCTCGCGCGACAATCGATCCGCGTTAAACATCCACGTGTACGCGGAGCGCGCAAAGGAAGAAACAGAAAGAACTACGTTGCCGACGACGCGTCACCGTCGACGTCGTCGTCCTCGTCATCATCATCGTCATCATCAGCATCATCATCATCACCATCGTCATGGTCGTCATCGTCGTCACGGGAGCAATCGCTCCTCCTCACTTGCCCAATCCAAACTTCATGAAGATCAGCTCCTTGCCCTTGGACAGTATGTCGCCGCCCGCGCTCGCGCCAGCCATCTCCGTGAACTTCTGCATGAGATTCGGCCCGGTGCTCTGTTGCTGCGGCTGTTGCTGCTGCTGCTGTTGACCTTGCGTCGGGTTAGGTGTCTTCGATTGCGCCGTAGGTATCACTGCCGGTATTCCCCTCATCGGCTTGCTGGCGCTCTGAGGACCACCGGGCGGACCCTGTTGGACCTGCTGCGAGAACGGCTGGCCCGGCTGCTGCTGTTGCGACTGCGGAAACTGCGGGCCCTGCACGGTGAATCCTATTTGCGGCTGGTAGCCCTGGCTCGACGGTTGCTGCTGATACGGCTGATTCGGCTGTTGCTGTTGCTGGTACGGCTGGCCCGGTTGCTGTTGGCCCTGATAGTCCTGCTGTTGCTGGAGGTGCGGACCCTGCATGCTCGGCATGTTACTACCAGCGAGCCGATTGACCACGCCGCCCCTCCCCTTCCCCTAGGAACAAAGAGACCGGGTGATTCGAACGGTTCTATCTCTCTCCTCCTGCGGACGAGCGAACTGTCTCGTTTCTCCCGCCGCCCAGCCGCTAGAAAATATGACTTTCGTCAATTCGTTAATACTATATCTGTCGATACCTAACTCTATCGCACTATTGTTCCTTCGCTAGTGTCATTTTCCGCAAGGGAGACGGCACTGTTCTATCGTTCTAGAAAAATTCTACGCCTCGCTACATGAATTGTCGGCAGTTCGAGAGAAGATGCGATGCTTCTCGTTTGTCCTTTTTCCTCTCTACTTCTATGTGGCGTCGAAAGTAATCGGCGAAGTAAAGAATGAGAGATGCGTGTCAGTAATCGAATAAACAAGCGAAGACGTAAAATTTCGTACGATTCGAAGAGAATAAAATAAGGATGGAGAGACGAAAGTTCGCAAGGATCTCTTTTGTGTCTCGTATATTCTCGAATCGTTATAACAGATCTTACGGAATATGTGTCGGTGTATAGAATAGATCGTATCGCCGAGGCACAAAGTACGTTTCTAATTGCGACGATTTTCTCGCAGTCAATATGGCGAGACGCCAAGTAAGACGATACTATGGCATGCTGTGATTTAAAGCGGTCACATGGCAGGTATGTATATGAATACACGTGGATGTGAAACGCACGTAGCTCATGTGCCACCTTCAGCACATGTATTTGGCAATAAAACGTAGCCCACGCTTGCAAAATATATATTACGAGAAGGTACATACAGCCATAACCAAAATGCAGAAATATCGAAACAAACGATCGTCGGGCGTTTGTAGTGGAAAAGAGACTTTACGAGATTCTTTACGAGACTGCTATCAGTTTTGAGAGAGAAATATTGAATATACTCAGAAGGTATCAAAATTACAAGTTCACTATCTTTCTTACTCTTAAACTGTATTTCGCACTCATGCAAGAGAATCGGAGATCATTCAATATTCGCAGCGAGAGTTACAATTGCGAGAGTACGAGTTACAATTACGAATTGGAGCTGACAGCAAAGCACAGAAAGCGACATATACGACACAAATACGCACAGAAATACGAGAGATCATGTATAATTTTCAAACAGACTTTTGCATTTTCGTGTAATTCAATTTTGATCGTCATCTATATCTTAGAATCGAAAGATGACGGTATGCGTGTCAATTGAAAGAATAAGAAACTCATCGTTAAACTCATATATCCTAAAAAACTAATAAAAGAAATATAAGGAGAAGTTACTAATTTTTAGTTTTTTTCTTTTTTTATTGAAGTTTCAAAAGAATTTAGCAGTAAAATGATATTTTCTCTAATTCCGTCGGAAGAAAATCGACAACTCTTGATCTCACACACGATCGACGACTCATCACAATCAGGGGACGATCGTCGATCCTGAAGAAGAACTTCAATATACTTGGACAAGCATGGAAGGTACGGGCGGAAGCTCGCTTTGGTAAGCACGAAAGAGACAAAGCGTACGAAGAAATTTCGGAAGAGGAGCGGGCTCACCTGTTGCTGAAGGTGGGGCGGTACGGGACCTTGCTGATGGGCACCCATGACACCGCCGCCGGGTGGCAAGTGACTGGGCCCATGCTGATTGGACGTGGTTACGGTCGTGTAGCTGTGGTGATTCGCTTGTTGGTACGCTAGATGCGGTGGATTGTTTTGTTGATGTTGTAGTTGTTGTTGGTTGTTCATTAGTGATGGTGGTGGTTGTTGTTGTAGTTGTCTAGAGTCTAAGTGACAGACAGGGACAGACACAGGCACAATGCAGGCATCTAGCAACAGAGAAGAGAACAGAATCGTGTTGTCATTCATGGCGCATTTATCTCTCATTATCTTTATCTTTTTTTCCTTTTTCTCTTCGCTCTTTCGAGTCGATCGAGCATGCCGAGTATACTTTCGAGATAGATATCTCAAAGAGGAGACGCGAAGGAGACTTTCCGGCGTAGAATATTGCCGGCGGATATCAGCCGTATCAAATCGCGCTGGATTTTGGAATTACTCGATGAGATCTAATAACGTCAGGCGAAATTCGTCCGGGACAAAAGCAACACCGTCGCTCGTTAGTTAATTAGGCACCTCTGGACGAAAGTTGCGAGCGTCGTCGATCTCTGTTCGATCAATGGTGAAGAAACGGAAATCATCGTGAATCAACATAATCGTAAATGGCCAGCATGACAACACGACACGAACGACAATCATGTGACACGACGACCATCGATCAGTTCAGGCACACAGAGACAGATCATGTTGGTATAAAGAAACTGTTATATCACAACAACATGATCGTGTGTATAGTCAGTCGACAAGTATATATATATATATATATATACACACACACACACACACACACACATACATACATACATATACATATATATATATATATATATACGTATATGTATATATAAACAGAGAAAATAGGACAGATACGTAGAATAATAGTAACAGAGGCAGAAAAGTGCCTGGAGAGAAAAAAATAAATATATATACGTGTGTGATATATATATATATATATATGTTAGATATACTTAATAGAGAAGACACTGAAAGCAGCTTAGTGTTTTATTGCATATAGATGTGTATATATATATATATATATAACATACATGTAATCCACATATCGTACATATATATATGTATATATATATACAATCTATATATCGTCGTGTGTATGACAGCACGTGTTTTCCTCAGAGACGTTCACCAATTGTCTTATATACATGTGACACACTTGGAGGGAAAATCTCTATCGTATGTATATCTGTAACGTGTATGTAATCGGCTATTTCGGATAGCCTGTTGCAAATGCCTGCAAAAGCGTGGCACATCTCGGACGTGTCGCCGGTAGAAGCGACGGGGAGGAGTCCGTCGTTCCGTAATACCGAGAAGCGACACTACTACGAGGGCCAGTACCTCATTCTCTGCGTGAGGCGCATGTGAGACGCGCGCGCGCGCGTCACTCTCGTAGGTGATTCGCACTCGATTCACCATCGTCTTGGAACAATGATACGCCGCATGCTCATTCGGCTCGAATAGCATCTCTCGATTGACTGATCTCGGGGCACGCCAGATTGCGCGACGCTAATCATCAAAGAGTGTGACCCTCTCTGCCTGCTCGTCTGGCACATCTGGTTTCGTGTCTTGTGTTGCTTGCCGTCCGCATTTCCGTTTACATCGACGCGACGTTGTTGCGTGCCAACGGCGACGCGTGTCAACGCGAGTGTCCCTCGAGTGTCTCGCGACAACACGGATGCACATTCGAACCAAACGCGACAGAGAACATCGACCGGGAAACGTCGCGTCGGTGTGAACGTCATCGTAAACAACAACCCCCCGAGCCAGCTCTTCCGTGAACGTCAAGCGTCGCTGTGCGGACTTCGCGAGGCAGCGAGTCGTACACGACGTGGTAATCTCTAGCTTAGATAGCAGAATATTAGCAGAATGGCTAACATAATTTTAAGACGATGTTTCATGCCCTCAATCTTGGTCTAAATTATAATGTTTTTCACTTTTTTCTTGTTATATAGCGGTTTGCTGCCAATCATAAACAGAATGGCTTTTTAGTTTAAAGGACTACACACCCCCCCAAAAATGATCAATATTTGTATTTTTCGGCTGATCATGTTATCGACCTTGTGAAGATGTACTTTTGAGGGGTGATTCTTAACACGTTGACTGCCGGGCCGAAAAAGTGCTACACACATTCAAGTAATATTTACTTGACACATTGGCTGCCGGTCACGTGGGGATGTGTTGATGGATAGTGCCCCGCAGAACGCGTGACTAGCTATCGATACATCACCCCGCACTGGCGCGGGATCGGCAGCGAAAGTGTTAAATATCTTCATTTACATGTTACATAAAGTTTATGACAAAAAGTTGATATGTAACGCTGTTATTATTGTTTGTTACTGCTTTGTCGTAGTCAATTTCTAAAATATCAATTTTTGATAAAGTTATTAACATTCGAAATCAAAGTTTCCCCTCTTTGCGTTTATAAGAAATAAACTATAATAGATATCAAAAAATTCTACAATAAAGACTAAATAATCTTACTAAGAATTTCTATGCAAAATTGTAATTAAATCGGTCTAACAGTTATCGAGACATTTTGAATGCTGATTAGTGATAACGAGCTTCACGGAAGCAGTAATAATAGCGTTACATATCAACATTTTGCAGTGGGTTTTATGTAATATATAAATAAAAAAGTATTGAAGAACCATCTCTCGAAAGAACGTCTACACAAAGTCAATAATGTTGTCACAAATTCAAACATTGGGTGTTTCTTCGAGACACAAGATAGTCATTGCGCATTACGTAAAGACAAAGACTTAAGACATAAAACATCGTGTTGGGCCGATAGATCGGCCATTTGTACCAAGGCCCTTACACTACGAGGAGACCAATGGCTTCTAGCGGTTTCTAACAATTTAGCAATTTTGCGCTTTACGCTTTTCCCTACGTCGCGGACGCTGATAGTTATCGCGTCGACGGAACCGACCGATTGGGCCCCGGTAATTGGGAACGTCGAACGTGTCGACGCACAGACAGTCGTACGCGACACGTCGTTGGTTCCCGAGCTGTCGTCGTCTTGGCCAGAGGAGCTATCCATGCTCTGATTACCGGCGACTGCAAGGAAGATATTCGATATACGACGGCTGTTTACCTTTTCCTCGTCGGTGACCAGCCGGGGGCGGTTCCCGCGGAGGCGGGGGTGGCCCTCTCGCGCCCGGTCCTTGACTCTGACCGGGTCTCCTGCTGCCCTGCGGCGCTTGGCCCTGATTTTGGCCCGGCGCTTCGGTGAGGAAGTTACTCGGTACCAAGCCCCGTACGCCGTTCAACTCGCCCATGTAGAAGCCGTCGTCGTCCATGTCACCGTAAACGTAGATCTCGTTTCCGGTTTGGAACGTTAACTCCACTTGCTGTAAAGTCGCGGGGATTAACGGTCGATGGTGATCGCACATGGCGAGCGATTAGTGACGGATAATTTGCGAATCTGCGTTTAAGGACGGCGGTTCGTACGGCTCTGAGCGACTCGCGTGACTCGAAATGACTTTCTAAATCGAGGCTATTACGATAAGAATCTTACAGCATCAACGTTGGGAGATAATTCATGAGGATCGTAATCGTAGAGAGCTATCATCTTCTTCACGGGCACGCTCGCGTAAATGTCGCCCCATCTGTCGCTTTGCGGCCCTCTCCTGCCGGGACCTTGACCCGGCTGATTCTGATCTTTAAGTTCCTCCACCATGTTGTAAGGAACGTATCCGCGTCTGCCGCGACACTCGCCCCAGTAGAAGCCATCAGCATCCTTTTCCCCGTACACCTGTGATAACAAAGTATCGTAAAGAGCGCAACGTTTACGCGACTTATACAAATATAGATCGCTGAATTTTAACTTTAGCATTTATCCAAGTTATTTATTTAAAATTTGATGAATTTAGTCGAATTGAAAATGATCAAGCAGTACGTTGAATTTTAACTTTGACAATTATCGACATTATTTATCCGAGGTTCCATGAATTTAGTCGAATTAAAATTATCATGCAGTACGTTGCAGTATGTTGAATTTTAACTTTCACAATTATCGGCATTATTTATCTGAGGTTCGATGAATTTAGTCGAACTAAAATTATCAAGCAATACATACATTGAATTTTAACTTTGACATTTATCGGAATTATCTATCTAAGATTTGATCAATTTAGTTGAATTAAAATTATCAAGCAGGTCAAGTTTTAACGTTAGCACATATCAAAGTTATTTACTTAAGATTTGATGAATTTAATTGAATTAAAATGATTAAACGATACTATGAATTTTAACTTGGATGCTTATTTAAGTTATTTATTTGAGGTTCATGAATTCAGTTTCGTTTATATAATTATAATTTAATTTAAGACCGATCAGAACGGTATCTTCAACATTTTGCAAGTATCAAAAGGGAACGATGTATGGGAATGGAACGAACCTTGATAGTGTCGCCTTCGGAAAACGGCAGTTCCTCTTCGCACGCGTCCGGATTTGGTGACATGGTCGTGGGATCGTAATCGAATAATGCCACGAACCACCGCTGCCTTTTGTTCATCTGTTGAGCTGCGCTCGACGGGTGACCCGCTCCACCTTGAGCCTGCGTCACCCGACCGCCGCGATAAACCCCGCCCGGTCCTCTTCCCCTCTGAGATCCTGAATAACATTGAAAACGACGTTAACGACACGCTTTCGTCAGTGTTGGCATAAGTAACACAGAAGAGAGACAGTTGAGTAGTTATCGACCATCCCAAAAACATAAACATACACGAAAAGAAGAGAGCGAAATAAATTCGGTGAACAAAAGGTTTTTCGTTAATAAAAATCATTCTGTTAAACAGCAACAAATGTCAGAGCGAGAAAACATGCGCTCCAATAGAGAGAGAGAGAGAGAGAGAGAAAGGATGTTCAGAGATAACCAAATGCATTGAGACAATGGCCGTGTATCTACCCGTTTGGTCATAATAAGGATCTTGAAGTCTACCGCTGGGTCCGCCCATGCTGGGAGACCTGTGCGTTCCGGGCGGGCCCTGTGGGTCCATTTGGGGGCCGTATCGGTGATGCGGCCCATGATGTTGCGGTGGCATGCCTCGCGCCCTTCGTGTGGGGTCGTCCTCTTCGCTGTAGTTCGCTTCGCTGGCGGAATCCTTCGTGATCTCCGGAATACCTGGAAAAGATTAACGATACCACAGTTAAGCGAAGTCGCTTAAGAAGCGCAGCCACGTGGGGGAATTCCCCAGTAAGCAGGGAACGTTAGATTGACATATTGAAATATCGATTTCACGTGTCTCGTGAACGTTTTCACTCGAATAAGAGGTAAATAGCTCCGAATAATTTTAAATCGTTAAAAAAACTGGCTTATAAGAGGCAAGAGAGCGTTAGAAATCGTGCGATAAAGAAAGCAGTCTTCAACTCCAATACATTAGTATAATTCCGAACGTGATGTAAACACGTTAATTTGTCGTCGTCGAGACGTTTCGATCCATTTTCCCGTTTTCATTTAACTCTACAGTGCACTCGCACGGACGACAGGTGTCATCTGTGCATGAGCTTAGCCAAGGGGATGCAGGGAAACGCTTGTCCCTCTCTCAAATTTTGGTAAAAAGAAACAAATTATGAAAATCATAAAAGAAATGTAATTGTTATATTACAATCTACAGCGACAAGTATATGTTCTGTAATTAAAAACGAATGACTAAGTATTAGCGATGCTTTATGAAAATTAATGTAATGAAAATTTCTCAATTTCACCACCGAATGTCAGAGTCCAATTTCTGCCGAACTCTTCAATCCTAATTTGGACAATTTTTACAATAAAATCAAACTGTGATACATCTTCTGGAGAGGTAAAAAATTAAAGAAGAGAAACTGAAAGTATCGGAGCTAACAGAGATGTTAAAAAAAGCTGAGGACTTTCTTCCTAGCTACGAAACGTACCCTGCATATTTCCTTGGCCGAGCACCATCGGTCTTTTAGTACATTGCAAAGGGCGAAAACCTGGTTACAGTCAACAATGTCCACAAATCGCCAATATTAACGCCTATTTCTTAGTATCAGGAGACGTTACACGTTATTGAATATTGTTGCAACAACGTTCTGCCGATGATTCTTCGCTCACTGGACGGAGTTCTTCACATAGCCAAGTTGCATGGCAGCGTCACTCCGCGCGACTCACTCACCCATCTGAGAGATGCTCTGTCCGGGGTAAATCTCCTTGTCGGAAAGGTTCTCGTCCGTCTCGATGATGACCTGACCGTGGGCGTCTACTCTGTTGCTCACGTGCCGTCGCATATGCGAAGAAGCGGGCGCGTTCGGGTACCGCTGACTGACGCCGCCCGCCATGCGATGGCGGTTGGGGTCGTCCTGCGGGCCGATGCCGGCGGGCTGCTGTTGTTGCCGTTGATCCATCATGTGCGGCGGCCCATGGGGCGGCATGTGAGCGGCGGTGCCACCGCGCAGCACGCTGCAGGGTATCGCCGTGGCGCAGCTGTCGCCGGACTGGCTCTCCCTGCTCTTAGTCCTGACGGTGATGTGCTTCGGATTCAGGCCCATTAGCTTGTGTATGTCGACTAACGCGTGGTCACCGGTAGGGCTGTCGACGTCGGTGACCTTCTTACCATCGGCGTACACCGCGTAACCGGTGACGGCCGAACCGTTTAGGGCAACAGGCTGCCAGGTCACTAGCAAAGTGCCGTCCTGCGGTCCAGCCTCCACCTGAAAACGGAACAGGACGTTCGTTAGTTCGGACTACCTGATCCCGGGCAGCTCAGCGATTTTATCCTTTTAGTACCAAAGTATAAACATAAAAAGTACTTGAAAGTAATATTGTTCTCTCTCTCTCTCTCTCTCTCTCTNTATATATATATATATATATATGGAGTTACTTTTCTTACGGTTTTTCTCTTTATTCGCATTTTTAGCTGTTTAGAGGGTGGTGTGCGTGGGGCAAGTGACACAGACGGTACTGAAAGGATCTCGATGCAAGGTGCAACGTAACGTTAGTAACCTGGATATCGACCGGAGGATCCGGTAGTCCCTTGGGCAACGTTTTAAAGTGGACGTGGCAGGCCAGATTGTTCGCCGCCTGGGCGTTTTGGTCCTCGAAGTGCGTCGCCCTCAGGTTCTTCGCCTTGACGGTCACCCTGTATATCGTTGACGGGGCTAAGCCGGTGATGGTATGTCTGTAGACGCCCGGCTTCACGGTCCTCACTTCCACGTTGTTCACGCACACCACGTGCTGATGGTTGCTGTTGCTGGGCAGCCAGGATATCACGGCGCTGGTCGCGGTCACGTTCGATGCTTTGACAGCTGTCGGGCCGAGCGCGATGTCCTTACCGATCACCATCGTACAAGCGGCGTCGCGAGACGTCCTCCTCGAGTGCGTAACCGAACGCACGCTTATCCTGTGCGGCTGCATCAATGAAAGAACAAGCGTTTTCTCAATAGAGGCCAAGTAGGATCGACATGTCGAATTTTTAGTCGTGAAAAACTGAGACGATAAGAGTCAACGTGGAAAAATAATTAGATCACTTATTTCATGACAATATCAAGTAGTGTGCATTTGTTTCAATATTTCAGTATTTAATGATGCAACGATATATATTTATAGTAATATATTTGTATCGAGTATATTATTAATGAATAAAAACATTGATGCATAGAATCAGCTTTAAACTCGACGTAGGTAGGAGCTTCAAAAGGTTAAACTGGAATGCCCGGAGTCGGTGATCGATAATCTCGAATTGATTTGAATTCGAAAATTTATCGGCCCGGCGCTCACGCTAAGGATACATCGCGTAAATTCTGCTGGGTTTGAAAGAATGAGCCTGTTATACGAACCCGAGTGGAATCGACTCCCTCCACGAGCGCTCTGGTCCTCTCGGTGGCCTTCACCGTGACCTTCAGCACGCCGTCCACGTAGACGTGATAGGACTCGAGCTGGTGCGGGTTCTCGGGCGCGGTCCATCCGATCAGCACGCTCTTGTTGAGTTGCCGCTCGAGCGTGAGGTGCTGCGGCGCCGGAACTAGGTCCGAAAACAGGTAGACTTCTTCAGGAGGAAAAGACAAAGACAAAGCCTAGCTGTAGCTAAGGATCTCTCACTATCTATCTGACTAAGCCAGCCTAAGTCCAGCCAACACACTTAACACAAGTGCAAGAGTCAGTTCTCTGTCCCCGTTCACTTCGTGAACTACTCACTTGGAGAACCGGTTCAGGATTCGGGCATTAACGTGGACTCTTTTTTTTTCGCAGCGCAACGCATGCACGCACTTTTCCCCGCGATTACCAACGTCAATGAGCGACCACGAACCGAGGGTGGGCGGGATGCGCACATCGATGCTGATTCCGGTGTTGCCCTCTCTTATGGGGGGGGGGGGGAAGGGGGGGGGCAACACACAGTACACNCACAGTACACCGCGTACGCACATCGCACAAGCGGCATCGACAAGTTTGTAAAAGCAAGTCCCTCTCTTTCCGCAACACACAAAGGCGAAGGTACGGAACTTCTGCATAATTGGAATAGTTTCCACGAGTGCGCCGCGTGTTACTTCGCTAAGAATAGAGGCCCGATCGCCCTAGCCTCTCTTCTAAGAATCGATCCAAGTACCAAGTACATCTAGACGTATACTGGATTGCGTGGGGAAACTTGTGACAACCATCTCGTCTAATTGAGCTCGTCCATAGGGGCGTCATGCGTCATGCGTCAGAGGTCTTGCAAAGCTCCACGACTACGAGTCGTAAAAGCGTACCAACCTGGCGGCTCTTGTTCGTCCTCCTCCGCGATATTGTCGAGTTCCGCATATGCGGACAGTTCCGCCTGACGATTCCGATTACCTTCCTCCAACGCGGCCAGCTCTAAATCAATATCCTGCAGATAGCACTAAAATAGATCAAATTGGGGATTATTATCTTCCGGTTGCGGCGCGCTCGATACAACAACTGTACGATAATATCGGCCCCTTATCGGCTACACGTCGTCGTACACGGCGACCACCTAATCGTGAAAATCAATGCGGCGAGAGTATACACGTGAGAGAACACATGCGAATATATACGCAAGTGTATACGGTATCTCGGTTAAGTGCCACGTGGTGCTCACTTGAGGGATATTCGTCGAAGCGGAATCGTCCACGTCTCTGAGGCTGAGGACGGCTTGATGAAAGTCCAGCAGATCGTCACCGACCAGCTTCTGTACGAAGTTAGCCGGCACCAGACCGCGTCTACCGTCGAGCGTCTCCGCGTCCAGGAGACCGTCGTCGTCGGGCTGGCCCCAGACCAGAAGGTAATCGCCGCCTTGGACCGGCAGTTCCGCTTCCGGATTCGCATTCGGTGAATGATGGCACGGTTCATAGCTGAAGCGAGCTATGTAAACGTAACATCTGCCCTTGCCCGGCACGTCCAGCATGTCCACTTGACCCTCAGGTACTATGTTGTCGTTGGGCAGTCGGTCCACGGGGTTCGTCAGTATACTCGTGGGGATCTTCGGCATTTGCCTAGGACCCAGGAAGTGGTGACCCGTCGCGGTGCTGGGCGCAGTCGGCGAGCTGGCGCGCAAGCTCTGCTGGATCTGGTGAATGATCGCTTGCTGCTGTAGCTGATTAGCCTGCGACTGGGCGGAGAGTTGCTGCATCGCTTGCAGAGGATCGCCTATTGCTTGTAACAAGCCTCCCGAAGTAGTACCTGCGCGAAGAGCGACGAGTAAGTTACTATTAGAATACTCGACTGTTCATCGTGAAGATACACGGAAACAAAAGAATCTTGCTGTTGCAGCGTATTCGTTGCAACAGCAAATTATTCTTCTCCATGTATCGTCGCGCTATTTAACCCGATAAAACACAATCTGATGCAAGACTCGACGTTGCTATAAATTGAAGAGTCCCTCGCAATCCTGACGCATTTTACACCCAATGTATTTTGCAAAGCAAAGAAAATCAAATTCAAATATTTAAAGAAAATGGAATGTTCTTATGATGAAAAATGTTGTAATTAATATTATAATTAAATTCTTCTCGTAAGAAAATTAGAAAAGGAAGTCTTGAAAAGGTGGGGAGAAAGTTGAAAAGATAAATCGTACCACCGTCACTTCGAACTTTTTGATTTCACCGAGAGCGATACCGACCTGAGCTTACGCCCGACGTCCCGAAAGCGTTGGTCCCGACGGTAGAGTAAGTCGATCCGCTCGTGGCGAAGGTGCTTTGACCGCTGGAGAAAGGAAGAACAGACTGGGGCACGCTCGTGAGGCCCCCGAGGGTGGAATGATAAGACGTGGTGGAGTACAGCGGCAGCGAGGACAGCGTGGTTTGCGTGATGTTCGTCTGCGGCACGGTGTAATTGTGATGCGGCAATTGGGTGTTGAAGCTGGTCGCCCCCGTGCTGTAAGTCCCGTTCGGATGCGACGCCATGGATAAACTCGGATATGTCGTTGCCTGCGCATCGAAAATCGATACGAGATACGAAAATTGTCGTGGCCAGCGTTAACCTTTCAACTACACAGTAACCTTTCAACTACACGGTAAAACATATTGAAAAGTAATACAAATAATGTCATTAACACGTTAATCGACACTGAAGTATATGTTATTTCAACACTTATAATGTGTTATTTTGACACTTACACATGTCGAATGTCGACACAAAATATTGAGATAACATAAGCGCAATATGCTAAATTAACACACTGTTAAAAATTGATCACAAACATTTTAACAAGGACCGACTCTTACACAAGTACAAAGTGTTTTTTACTGTGTACTATTCGAACAAATCGATTTTAGATAGATATTTCACCAATCGACCGCATCGAATCGGAAGCGACGCGTGTTTCGTGCTGCATCCGCATTAGGAATACGCTCGGTAGCTTTCGCTGCTCGCGAAGGAAATAATTGCAATCGAAAGAAGTAATCGATAACAACGACTACATTTACACGGCAACGTTAATCCGGTTTAGAAACAACCGTATAATTAATCACCTCTCGCATTCGATCGGTGTATTCTCGATAGATCTAAAAATACATTCCAATTAAATGCAAAGGCTCTACCAACTACGGTTGTCGTTAAACCGGATTAACGTTGTCCGTGTAATAGGACTCGATGACGAGTCATCAATTGCTCACCTGTTGACTGCCGTTCAATTGATAATTCTGGGCGGTCTGGGCAGGCTGTGTGTAGTGGGGTAACACGCTCTGGCTGGCTGATGTCAGGTACGTAGTGGAGGCCGGATGCTGCTGCTGCTGCGGCTGCTTCTGTTGCTGCTGCAGCGGCTGCTGATACGTTTGCGTATGCGGATAACTCTCCTGGTACTGATTGCTTGTGAAGTGAGTGTGCGTTTGTTGCTGCTTCTGCTGAGACGGTAGGGTGTTCTGGGAGAGGGAACTCGACAGCTCGTGCTGCGACTGCTGATACTGCTGGATCTTCTGTTGGAAAGCGGGTTGGGACTGGCTGCTGGAGAGTGACGGCGCCGGCGGTATCGGTTCGCTGTAGTGATATGGCGGCCCGTTCGGCGTCAGCGGAGGGCAACCGGGCATCATCGGCGTCAACGGCATCGGCGAGCCTGCGTACTGTTTTCGAACGGGTTCCCATTAGCGAAGCAAATCTCACAAGCTATCCTCGTTTGGTCTCTGTCTGTCCCGAGACGGAACGGGAATGAATTAGACACGGCTTACGTACGTGGCCCATCTGGCTAGGCATTCCGAGATTAAGGGCATGCGGATGAGGTGGATGTTGATGTTGGCCGAGATTGGGAAGATTCTCCGAGCTGGACCGAAGGATACCTTGCGTGGCCGAGGGTTGCTGCGTGGTTATCGCGCTCCGTGTGTGGTCCAGTTCGTGTAACATTCTACCGGAACTGTATTTATTTTAATTAAACAGTATCTCACCGGCGCGTTTTATGGTTCTTAGTGCGACTCGAGTAACATTAGGACGCCCTAAGACGTCGACGATAAAAAATGTCTTTTATACAATAAGTCATCTTTGAGACGTACTTTATACAACATATGTGTTGTTTGGGTATCATCAAACGCGAACGTACACACAGGAAGAATATTATAGCTTTTCTCACATAAATTCGTCCCAATTTTATCATGTTCTTTGGTAATATAAAAATAGACCGTCAGTAGAGTTGATTTTGTTAAGGAACACAGTAAATTAGCCATAGTTGGCCGTAATTGGCCATACAACTAATAGAAAATAAAAACTGTTTTCTTTATTAATTTTAGGCGTCTATAACGCTTGAATATTTTAGTTTTATGTAGATTTCAGTTAGCAGATTTCAGTTCCTAAAATACAAATAACTCACCCCAAAGGATAATAAATTAACACAGAATGTCGACATGTTCCTCGGTCGCAAGATCTTACGGTATAATTTCTGTTGTAAAATTCTCTCCGTGCGTAATAGGACTGTCGCAAAGACTCGATGAGGCCCGATTTGTTTTTCTTTTCCGAGGAAAATTGCGTTTCAACGATAAGTTTGCGTACCTATTGTCCTGCTCGATCTTGGCGATGATCCGATCGATCTCGGTGCCGGCCGGCGGCCAAGTGGCCGTCGGCACGCTCGTGGACGTGACGTGCCCCGCGACCGGTCCTCTGCTGCGCGCACGTCTCAGACTGGTCAACTCCAACGACAGTTCCTCGTGCTTCACCATCTGCAGCTCCGTCTTCTTCTCGAGCTCCCGGATCTTCGACTGCAACGCTTCGACCGATTCCGGACCCTGATAGCGTCCTGCTATCTTCTCCCGCAGCTGGTTCTGTGCTTCCGCGTGCTGCCTCTCCAGATCCGCACGCCGGGCTTCCGTCTCCCGCATTTGCTGGACGAATCGAGTCGACAATTATTAGCAAACCCTTCGAATCCGCCGGCATTCGCGAGTGAAAGAGACACACATGACCGACGCGACGTCCGAGTCGAAATTTTGGCCCTGTGTTAAATTTTTAATTTTATAACATAGTAGAAGCTAAGATAGTAAAATAGGTTCGATAATTATATGATATAACCTCGATTTTGACCCTGATGATGTCTTAAATTTCCGTTTTCGCTGTTTTAGCGTGAAAATAGGTTGTTGAAAGTGGCATTAAAGTTCGATCTGTAGAATTAGAAAAGAGAAGTTAAAGAGTGTCGATATCGTCAAAGTAGGTTTTTATTAATCTATAGGCCGTCTAAGGTAGACGCAAAGTATCCTTAAGAGCGTTAGAATAGCATCAAAATATCGACTCGGGGTGATAACGTGTAGTTACGCAGACGAGAACGTTGTCTGTTAATATTGTCAATAAATGGTTATTTTGCAGAATCTCGATTCGGGGTAAGTAGCGTCAATTTTACACGGCAAGTTGACACATGTCGTTCACATGCGCGATGCTGCGGATTTATAACCGGTAGCGGAACAATCTCGTATTTATTATCGAACGCGAACGAAGACGGCGGATAAAATAAAAAAATAAAGAAGAAGGAGAGGAGACATATGAGTGAAGATGCGCTTCGATTCGATTTTTGCGGTCACGAATCTCCATACTTAATAACCTGGAGCGACGTTCTAGTTGGGTATGTGATTCGCGACAGGAATGTCACGTTTGTAATGAAAAGGGAGGCTTTTGTACCACCGTTGCCTGAAGCGGCGCAACCGAACTTCCGCTCAGCGCGTAATCCAGCAGGGAATCTCTCGTGAATATGATATCGGAGAAAAATTCAAGGGATTGCGTCGATAATCGTATCAATCCGGCAACTTTTTAGCGACTTCTCCGAAATTAGCCGGAGCAATTACTACGGGTCGCAGGCACGCGGATCGTTCTATAATCAGCAAAATTGCTCACCACTTGGCGAAATTAATAGCCTAATTATCTAGATTGTGCGACGTAAACTTGTGTCGCGCGGGTCAGTATTAATTTCCTGCGTACAGATTCCGGGGCGTTTAAACCAGCGAGAGGCCAGTAGCAGCAGGAGACATAAATTTTCAGACGCTAACAAAGTTTAAGTGGTTTATTTTACGCCGCCGCGAGGCCACGAATTAAAGTTTCCTCGAGCGAGCAATCGCGGCCGGAACGTATTAATAAAAACTTTTGTTTTTCATGTTATGGCCGGCTTATCGAGTATCTGAAAGCACGGCCGCAGTGAAAGAGAGCTCTCCACAAGTCGCAATTCATTGTCGATGGTTTACACGTAACTTTCACGCGCGTGAGCTCATGTGTAATGCCGTGTGTGCGCGCGTGTGCACGTATGTGTGTGTGTATTGATTACATGCATATTACCTTTCTACGTAATCTACTTTAATTTCAAGGACTTTTGGTTCGTGAGGAGTGCACGCACGCGTCCCGCAGCCGCGAATTCGTTAACGTCACCGTGAGGAGGAAGGAGGATTTTCAATTTTTGGCGATTTGACGCTTTTGAATACGTCGAAAGAGCGCTTTTCGCGAGGACAGAAAAAGCGAATAATTACCGATGGGCGCGCATACGATCGGTAATAACGAGTTCCAAGAAAGGTACGTCGCATACGGGTTGATTTATGCGCGCGCGTGCAAGATAAAAATTCACCCGGAAATTAATGGCAAGATATATACGAGGGCGGTCCGATAAGTATTTAGCCTACAAAAGAAAACGAAAATTTTGGAAAAGTGGCGATTTATTTCTCAACATAGTCTCCTTTTAGCTCGATACACTTGACCCAGCGATGCTCCAACTTCTTTAACCCATCTGAAAAATACGTTTTCTCGAAGTCTGCAAAGGCCTCCGTGGCGGCGATGACGTCCTCATTCGACTCAAATTTCTGCCTGGGAAATTTCTGCGAGTGACTTTTTCAAGTTTGGAAACAAAACAAAGTCGCACGGGGCCAAATTTGGAGAATACAGTGGATAGGGCAGCAGTTCGTAGTCCAATTCGACCAATTTGGCCGAATGAGGAGGTCATCGCCGCCACGGAGGCCTATTTTGCAGACTTCGAGAAAATATATTTCGAGAAGTATTTTTCAGATGGATTAAAGAAGTTGGAGCATTGCTGGGTCAAGTGTATCGAGCTAAAAGGAGANGCGTTGAAAAAGATCCACTGAAATTTTTGTGTCATCTTAATACGGGAAATGTGCTAATAATACAAATACAGTTAAATTAATAGTATAAATTATTTGCTCCCATCACTAAAAGTGGTTGTTGTCTCATATTTACAAGCCATTTATTGATGTCTTGTTAAATTAACAAAAATTTTCCTCTTTAAAGTATATCTTTCAATTCACTTTGTTAAAGAAACCCAAAATCTCCGTAGATTGTTTTTAACACAAGATATATAAAAAATTAATTAATTTCATATACCTCGCCAGAAAGATTAAAAAATAAGAAAAGCTAAGCAAAAATGAACCAAAAAGAGATTAATGAAAGAAAGAGAGAGAGAGAGAGAGAGAGAGAATTAAAACAAAAAAATAACAAAATATAAAAATATATACGAATTTTTCGCACACAATCTGCTCAAAGAACCGCGCCCGAAATCAATCTCCGAGATTCCTCGCGAATTGCGGGAGGTCGCTCGCGGCTGTGATTTCGCGAAGTGACATAACTCGGCTGAGCTCACCTCCAAGATGGATTCGAGAACTGCGTCCTGCATGATGGTGGTTCTCGTGGAGGTGGTAGCCCCGACAGCGGATCCGGTCCCCTGCAGCTGCGGAGCCTGAGGTGCCGTGGAAACGCCACCTCCAACACCACAGCACTGCAACATCCCTGAAGTCTGAGACCCTCGCCAGTCTTTATCGCGGCCGGTCCCTATCGATCTAGCGTGTGTCTAGGAGCTATCTTAATTAATTGGCGGCCTTTGCGCGCGGCTTGCCGGGTCGCGCACCACCGACGGCTGATCCCACACACGCTCAACTCAGTGCGACTCTAGTTCAGTGCGAAAAGGGACTCTTATTTCTCTCGGCACGTGCGTAAGCTCGCTGCGGGAACGAGTCAAAAGTTGCTCTCGTGGCTCGCAGAAACGGGGCGACCTCGCATTTAAAGGGGACCAATGCTCGCTCGAACCGGGCTCGTCGGCTACTCGTTAGGTATCGGATCATCCTAGGAGGAAACGCACGTTTTTGCGGGATTTCTCCACGATTTCTCGTGAGATTGTGGAAAGAGATGCGCGGCTACCCCGCCGCAGGCTTTCGGATTTTTTCAGAACCCAGAGGCGGGAGGTACTAATGCTCGGGTCGGTTATCGAAATATTCAGTAGCCGGTGTGTTCATTAATTCAAAGATGTACGGAAGAGGTGAGCTATAAGCATCAAAGCAGAGAGAGAAAGAATTAAAGAGTCGCACATTCGATACCCCGTTAAGATCCGCAGATCCGCAGATCATAATCGACGCGAAGATCTCTCAATCAAGCAGTATTGTCGACTCGTTTCCCGTCGTTTCTAGCTTATTTGAATGTCAATTAGAATGCAAAAGTCATATTTCAGCTTATTTCCATCTTAGTGTACTTCCTGGATTATTCGTAAATTGAAACGGTGAATTTTCTCTTCCGAAATAAGCTAACTTTCTTGTTTCACATTGAATTAAATTCTAATTAGACCTCATTATGATACTCATAGTCAGATCTTGTAAGCGACGCAGTAGCCAATAAATTTTTAACTTTTACGGAAAAATGGGGCACAATATGTGATGTTTTAATTCAAATTTACATACATTTATTTTATATTATATTTGCATAATAAAGACAATTACATACGTAAAACTGACTACTTTTTTTTACATATGCGCGCACTTCCACATAGAGCGTATGTATACGTTCACTATTTTTGCCTTTTATTTCTGGCTTATTTTAGAGAGGCATATGACAGATTTTAAAATTTCGAGTAACACTATTATCAAGGCGCTCAAAGGAGCCACCAACCGGAGATGAAAAAAGCCAATGAAAAACGACGTAAGATGTAAATTGCGAAACTCACTCGATCTACATGAAGAAAATATTGTGGTAAAAAGTACCACAAAGTTTCGTAATACTAGACCGTACAGAAATTATGATGTGTGTACAGTCATAATTCCAGTACGGTCCAGTGTTATAAAATTTTGCAGCAATTTTTACTGCAATATTTTCTCCGTGCATAAGTGAAACAAGAAATGAGGTAACAAACGAACTTTTCCTCGAACTGCTCAACAACGGACAGTTTTCTCGGACGGGTTCGTTTGAGATGGCCCATTTTTTATTTCACTTAAAGATCGGCTAAGTTTCGCAACTTTCATCTTGCGTCGGTTCTTAATGGCTTAATTTGCCTCCGGTTGACGAAGATCTCCCCTCATGATTTGCCTTCGGTCTCGCTGCTCTCTCGCGAAAAATAAGAAGACCAAACTTCGCGAGAGTGTCGCGCTCAAGCTCTCGCTGTTTCTCGGCGAATTCGTTATTAAATGAGAAATTCCGCCGACGCGATTATCGGCAACAGGTACTCGCGCGTGTTCGATCGAGTTTGTAATCCGCCTCTGGAAATCCTCGCTTCACAACTTCGTGCACAACGATCGCTCTCAAATGCCCCCCTCGCTCAATGAGCCCGACCGCCGCGCATCGAACAGCGTGTAGAAGCGACGAAAGCGATCTCTCTCTCTCTCTCTCTCTCTCTCTCTCTGTACATGTGTGTTAACTATACGAAACGCGAGTTATTATCAGCCGCGCGTTATAGCTGTGCTACCGTATTACCGTGCGCGAGATTTCACGTTAATAATACGTCGCGTGCGATCGAGCGAGCGAAACTCGCTCGCTCACTCGCTCGGTTTTTCGCGCGGAAAGTTGGCGCGATCGAGAGAACCACACACACAACACACACACACACACACATGCATTCACACGTATATAAACACACATACACACACATTCGTACGCACGCATACGTAAACGTTCGTGCATATACGCACACCACCGACGAGCACATCGCACCGGCTACGAGAATCTCGTTTAACCTGCACGTTAGGACAAGTGGCACGTGTCTCATCCGAGGCATCAGTCGGCGATTTACGCGCGACGACAGTTTTGCAACCCTCTCCGTTATCTCGCGTCCGTGCGCCGAGATAAAAGCGCAGTTAACTTTGTCCCACGGTCAATTGAGCACGCTTTTCTCCCTCCTCGCCTCCCTGCCATCTTTGATACGCGAAGGATCAGATATAATCGCCACTTTTTGATACGCGCACCCACCGAGGAGCACGAGGACGACGTCGAAGTCCGGTAACTGCCCGCAGACGGACAGCTCGTTCGAGAGGAAAAAAAAGAGTCAAGCGAGAGTAGAATTTTTAACCCTCCAATGGGCAAGATGGATTTTCAGAACTTCAAGGCGTTTTTCAACGTATTCTACTGCAATTATTTAAAGCCAGTTAATAAACTTTACTGTATTTTTCATCTATAAATAAACGGAGGAAAAAGTTTCATGCTATTATTTACTTTTTTACCTATTTTATACATTAAAAATGATATGAAAAATGAACAAAACAAAGCATGGGGTCGGATCCAACCCCAACCTTACCATTAGAGGGTTAAGGTCAATCAATATTATATAATTAAGAATTAATTATATATCTTTTTTATCTCTCACGTGGGAGAAAATAATTTTGCTAGCAAATTATAAGTTAATATTGAGACAAAAAAATTTGTTACATGGAAAAAATTTTGTTGTTGTAGTAGAATTGTAACAGAGATGAAATTTAGTTAGAATAACCAGATTATTTTGCAATCTATATATCCAGCAAATAGCAATTAATACTCTTAACAAATATTTTTGCTATCTGAACAAATCTTTTCGCCGCCCAAACAAATTTTTTTGCGTCTCTATAGTAACTAACAATTTGCTGTACCAGCAAAATATTTTTCGCCGTACAATCTTCTCTCTAATGTACACTAAGAAAAATAAATTGAAATTTTGCGAAATAAATGTTTCTCATGACATTTCTTCGATATTTATTGTTTAGAAAAAAATTTGACGACGAAATATATATTTTTACGAAATACGCCTAAGTTAACCTTATATGTAATTGGTTTATTTACTAAGGATAAAATTTTATTTCGCCGTATTTAAATAAACGTTTATTTCCGTGAAATAAACCTTATATTTCACAAATAAATTTTTAAGTCTCTTTTTCTCAGTGTATTTGTTGACTGTCCGTCTGCGATATTTACTTAATTATATATACTAAAAAGTTATCTCGTGAACAAAGATGATGATTATTATTATTATTATCAAGATCGTTCGATTCGAAAGAAACGGCAAAGATCTCGACGAAAAGACCTTTCGATGTTCGGGCGGAATCGAATCCGTCGGGAAGGAAGTCATGAGATCGCACGTTTCCGTCGCGGAGTCGAGTAGCCGTGAGAGCGTAGTCGTGCGTGTAATTTAACGCGGCGCGATTTGCGCGATTAAAGAAAACGCGCCGTGAAAAACCGCTGTATCACTTGATTGGTGCGATAAAGCGTGCGAAGAAAATACATCTCGCAGGGCTAGGCGAGCTAGGCGAGCCGGCCCTTTCCTCCCGTCCTATTCTTATATTAGCTCCCTATTAACATGACTTAATAATAGCACACTCTCGGGCGTGCTTTTATCTTTTGATACATCTAATTGCTGTGCATTTTCCCGCTCTTTGTCCCTCTTTCCCCGGACGCTAACGAATACAATGAGAGCGACGATCGGGAAATTATCCGCTCTTCTGACACACTGACTCGCACCATGTCGGGCGAACAATCGGCGACGCTGTTACGATGTAACAGCAGTAACGTACGTACACACACACACACACACACACACACACACACACACACACATACAAACGAGCGTGGAGAGAACGTGTACCAAAACGCGATGAATCAAACGATGACGCGATCAAAAGGCTGCCAGTTAACCGGCTGCAGAGAGATAACACACCGAGGGTGATTAGGGGGAAAGGGTGGGAGGGAGGCTAGTGCGAAAATTCTTCAGATGCGTGCACAATAACGGTGACGTGAGCTCTCCCAAGTGTATGTTTTATCACTCGAATTATCACACACGCGTATGATCCCGCTACGGAGCAGAGTCAACAATTTCTCCGCGGCTAAAACCGCTCCCGGTCCTCTCTCTCTCTCTCCTTTCCTTCCCTCTTCCGCCCCTTATTCGCGGTTATCGCAGCCGGACTTCTATATTAATGTCGAATTATCGATTTTATTCGCGTCGCACGCGGTCCGGCTCTCTCTCTCTCTCTCTCTCTCTCTTTCTTTCTCCCCCTCTCTCTCTCTCTTTCTCTCTCTCTCTCTTTCTTTCTCACTCACTCACTCACTCACTCACTCTTTCTTTTTCTCTAGTGGCTCTCAGGTAAATATACGTCTTATCGCGCCGTTACTTCGCGGTTGTTCTTCGCGGTTCGTTAACCCTTTGACTGCCGATATACCGGTCGTCGTCGGCTCCGGATAATTGGCTCGGACCTACAGTCCGATTGAGCGCCGTCGAAAGCGAGAGTACGCGAAAGCTAAAAGCGGAATTGTGCGTATGAGCGAACGCGGAAACGCGACGGACGAGGCTCGGAGGAATTTTCGGATTTTCCGCAGACCACATTCGCGAGGTATGTATCGCAATTCCGCCAGTGGCTGTCATTTACACGTGTCACGGCGCACTCGGTATCCTCGTGCTGACAGCACACTTCTTCAAGTTCATGAAACTTCGGCTCCGGGGAGCAGTGTCGATCTGTCAAGTTGCGCCGATCTCGATCTCTGTCAGGACGGCGATTTCATCCACGAGCGACTGTGTCCACGGGGTTTTTGGGATACCCGGAGGCGGCCAGGTTATCGCGATGAGCGAGTCACTCGCGGAAGATCAATACCGCGAGTTTCATGGAGCCGATAACAACACCATGCCGGACGGGAAAGCAGATGCGAAGATGAACGAAGAAACACCGAGGTCGTCGTTGCCCGCTAGCCGAGAAAGTAGTCGAAGTCGCGGTAGGAGTCGAATAAAAAGAGAGAGAGAGAGAAAGAAGAAGTGTGCGAAGCGTACAGTGGTAGAAGATGAAGGATGGCGGGCGAAGAAACGGGCGGCAAGCAGCGAGGTAAGAAACGAAAGAGAGAGAGAGAGAGAGAGAGTGGCAAGCACAATAGAGATAAGGAAACGTTAAGAGTTCCTACCGGAGTCTGCCTAGCAATGATTCGATTCCAAGATGCAGACGAGGAGTGCTGCGTGAGCAAGCGATATATCGAGGAACACCGATGGCGGACGAGATAGCGACTGATATATAGAGATAAGCACTTGGAGAGAGATGAGAGAGAGAGAGAGAGAGAGAGAATGTGCGAGTATGTGTGTGTATGTGTGTGTGAGGGAAAGAGAGAGAACGAGAGAGCAATCTCGTGTTAAAAATTTGCCGAGAGTTAAGCACGGTCCGCGCGAGCGATCGTAGTAGAGAAGGAAAGAAAGCTTCTCTGTGAGCACTGCACTTCCGCTCACTGAGAGAGAAAGAGAGAGGAAGAAAGAGAAAAAGAGAGTCAACCCCCGGTGATGACTCGCGGAGGCTAGCTCGCTTCCGCATACGAGCTCGACCCAGCACTTCCGTTCGGTGTCCGTGGCGGCGAGGCACAACGGCGTGAAATCGAACTTCTTACAGTGTACCTCGAGTCGGAAGTCGAGACGATATTAAGGGGGTAGCAGGCGGAGTTGTCAGAGGGGAACGGGGAACAGACTTGGAACGACTTTCCCGGCGGGGGCACGGCTCGAGTGGCCACGGTACTGCTTATTGATCTCACTAAAGGGCAAAAGGTACGTAGCGTACATGTGCACCCGGTGCGCACCAAACACCACTGCACGGCGGCACGTAGTGCAACCATTGTCACGAGCAACGGCGGTGACGGCAAACGACGGCGGTGGTGGCGGTGGCGGCGGTGGTGGCACCCCCGACACTCCACGATTATCGTCCGCCATGCTGGTCCGCTGTCACGGTACCGCCGCCGTCGCCGTTGCCGCCGTCACCGCCGACGTCGTCGTCGTTGTTGTCGTCGTTGCCGTCGCTTTTATTACCAGCACTTCCGAACAGGATTGTCACTGTGAACTCCGACACGTCGACGATCGCGAGGCCGAGATCGAGCGACTGATGTCCGCGCGAGCCGCTCGTGTTCCAGTATACGAGAAGGTGCTACACTCCCGAGAACGATACGCTTCGCGCGGAGTCGACGGAGTTCACGACGACGGTGATCACGTATTCGTATGTTCTGCACTCACGTAGCACTCATTCACTCGTTCCGTACTCGGTGTTCTCGGTTGTTCCGGAGGTCGCGAGGCCGGTGTCGGGCTCTTTCGTTCGTTCTATTCATCAGGCATCCTCTCTCTCGCTCGTTCACTCACCCTCTCTCTCACTCTCTTTCTCTCTCTCTCTCTCTCTCTCTCACCCTCGCACCAGTTTCCACTCTACCTCGTCGTCGTCGCGACACTTACGATGACCGAGTCGAAGGGATTGTGGCAGGCCAGGGCTGCTGCTGCTGATGAGCGAACTCCTCGGGACTCGCCAAGCTTTTTCACTCGGCTATCATCCCGTACAACCCCCAAGATCTGCTCGGCCGTGGAAGGCAGGCAGGGCTGTCGGAGTCGGGGGTAGAGGGTGATGGTGGTGGTCGCTTGCCACTACTGGGGGGTGAGAGGTGGGGGTAGAACAGTCCGTGTGGGATGGAGGTGCACCCCCAGTACGGGTACAGGGGATGGTAGGTGGACGGGGATAGTCGAAAGAGGAGGGCGGAAGCGACGCGCGACGGTGTGAGAAGCGTCGGAGGAGCGGTTGTAGGGGTGGCAGAGAGGGCCGGAGGGGGGAGGCAAGGGCTCCCGTCACCACCAGATATGGGTCACTCAGCGATCGATGTCGATATAGAGTCGCTGTATCGCCGGAGTCCGTCGCACGATCTCCCTTACGTCACTTCTCGCTCGCTCGATCTCGCCGGCCTGGCGGGGGTGGACGGTCCCTTGCCTCTGTGGTGCGGGGCTGTGTGCCACCTGCTCGTCGATGGCTCGTCCGCTCGCTCGCTCGTTCGCTCGCCTGCACGTCCACTCGCTCGCTGCATTATCTTCGTTCGGGGACGGTTGGCCGCGACGATTCGCGCGCGGCGTTAAAGGATTCGATCGACTGCGCCAAACATGGCGGTTTCGTTGGCGGCTGATACCCTGAAAGTCTGGCGATTTGGCCAAATGGTTCGCGTCGCGACTACATGGGGGTGTAGCTTTCACAAAAGACCAATCAATACGCAAGAGGTGATCCTACGATATCTCTCTTTCTCCCACACTTTCTCACCCTCTCCCATTCGCTCTCCTCTCATTTCTCCGATTATCTCTCTCTCTCTCTCTCTCTCTCTCCTCCACCCGGTTTTCTCCTCCTTCTTCGTTCCTTTTACCCGTCGCCGGCACCGACGCTCTGAATCCTCGCTACCTCCGTTCGCCCTTCGCTTCTCCCACCGCTCGTATTTCTTTCATTTATCTAGCTCTGTTCCTAGACTCTCTTCCATTCGTTTCATTCTAACCCGTCATGCCTTCTTCTGCCGTGCGATTTTTCTCGCGTGAACGAACGGCCATCATGAAGAGGTGACATGGGGAGGAAGAGGAGAAAAGAGGAGGTGGAGGAGAAGGAGAAGGGGAGACTCGCGAGGAACCGGCGGAATAGTCTAATTTTAACTTAGCGGAGAGTACACTCCGCGTCGCACGCACGCTCGCACGCACGCACGCACGCATGCACGTACGCATGCACGTACGCACGCACACCTATCCGCGTATAAGGGAAATGACAGCATCTCCCCTCTTTCTCTAGAAACGATTTCGCCGGATTATCAGGAGCGTACCACCCTCGGTCGCGCGGATAATCTAGTTCTTCCGGCGAGACGCCAACTTCGCGAGACGTTCATCGCTGGTCGCTTCGATAAGTCTGTGATTGAGAATTTGTCAAAACTGTCCAAAATTTTCCAAATTTTTACATCGCTCCATCAATTGGACGCGTCATTCAGGATCTCTCATTCAGTTTTTTAGATTTTTTCCTTATAATTTGCGACTCGAGGATCCGACGACAAAATATTCCAACTCAGGAAACCACATCGTTTCGGTTCCACACGACGACACTCCGTCAACAAGGTGGGATCGACGAGACATCATTTCGGATTATCCCCGGGACATACATAGAGAGTGATATTCCTCCGACTCCACGTTGCGTGCGTAACTTTTGTCAAGGAAATTACGAGTTTATTAGTCAAACGAACATCTCTCTCGCGATATGCGGCATCCCTTTAATCGGCCGCATCAAGCGAGCGCAAATCCAAGTGTGTAATTTTACATATTTTATATGGTCACTTTTTACGCATTTATAATTTACACGTGTTACTAGTGTAATTTTACATATATAAGTGTGTAAATTTTGTACATAATTCTACACACATAAGTGTATAAAAATTACAATTTTACACACATAAATGTGTAAAAATGACAGTTTTACATGCAAAAGTGTGTGAAATCACAGTATTAACACGCGTAGGATTGCGTCAAAAGTGATTACATGTAAAATCTACACACTAGGGATCCGCAGTGCACGCTCATTCGCTTGACTCACGCCGGGCGAGATCGTAGCGGCGCGATCGGGAGACCGGCGCGTCGCGACGCTCATGGTCGTCAGGACTGCGATTCAGGATTGAGCTCGACGCCGCGCAGGCGTCCGCTGACGTCACGGCTTTAAGGTGCGGGGTGTTATACGCTTATCAATGAACGTACGATGCCTACGGCGAGTACCTGTTCTCCAGCACGGCGCCGACGAACACACCCTCCGGTCCTCCCTTACTCGCCCTTGCGCCGCGCGCGCCCTACGTGCTCATTCTCGTCGTAGCCTCGCGCTACATGATCGCCGTTCGCCGTTCATCGCTCAGGTCAGGTGTGATCACGAGGGATGAAGGCTGCTGCTGTGTCGCTACGACATCGCACGACTAACTTCTTCATGTACGTGCGTTGCGCAACGCGCAATGTGGTGGAAAAAAATTATCCGTTTGAGATTGTTTAACATTTCACGTGGACAAGCGAGGAGTCCTTGTGTAATCCTGATGACACTATCAGACGGTGAAAGACGAGATTCCGATCATCTACGTGTTTCGAATTCGCTCCTTGAGAACATTGCGAAGATCACGTTGCGATCGTGAAATTTGTGCGTTGCAATTGTGGACTCGGATAATGCGGGGAAAAGGTCGCGAGGTTCGAAACGCAGGCGCTTCGCTTGTATACTTATTCTGAGAGAAACAGTGGAAAAGGAACTGCACAATATCCCTTTCGGTGGGTAAAAGTGATGTAACCTATCTTTCGTTGGCTATGTGCATTATGCTTTCTAGGGCAGAGTTTCCCAAACTTATGTGAACCACGACTCATTTTCGGAGACCTCAGAACGGTAAACATCCATGATTCACCTAGCATTGATGGATGTGAAAAAGGGAAGGAAAGGATAAATTGATTATTTATTTATACCGCTTTATGATACGTCGATACGAGGATACACGACGAGTCTGTATTCGGTTGTAAAACTACGCGAAGTGATGAAGTGTAATTTCATATTTCACAAATTTTTGAGACCCACCAAGTGTCAGTTTACGACTCATAATTTGAGAATCTCTAGGATGTAACTTAATTTGTCACGACTACTATGCCGAGTTGTGTATCTATATTCTATAAGGAACATTGCGCGACTCTTCTTCCACCGTTTCTCCCGCAATAGATATACAAACCAAACGCGTAGCCAACGTGACCCTTAGGTCGGTTATCTTGAGCCGCTCCCCTTAAGCTCTCCCCTACTTGTATTTATACACGCTCTGCGTCATGCATGCCATATCCTTATAACTGAGGCTTGTACAATTCTCAACCTTACTCATGCACACATGAGGTTGAAAATCGTATGAATAACACCAGTTACAATGATAAGGCACATATGACGTAAGAATACGCAAATCAGCACAATAGTGCCTTGATATGTAAACATCAATTTAACAATGCAACTAGGTTATTCGAATTTTCCAGTTGTAAAGAGCACCGTTGATTTATTAATGATTGATTATTAAAAAAAAACGGGGACGATGTGTCGATGCAGTAACACTGTCACTATAATAACTTTACGTTCATGCTTATAAACAAAAGTACATAAAATATTTTAATAATCTAATTATATAGCCTGTGCGTGCTAAAAAGTCATTATATCGATATGCATACAGTCAACGTCATGTATGTGTGCCATTCCCTAACCTAGGTAAGGTTAAGTTATACGATTTTGATAGAGTATTACATACATAGAGATATAAGAATAGAGGGAACAAGGGATATATGCTACCTGTAAGTGGAAGTGATAGAGGCAAAGAGAGAGATAGATGCCGAGTGTCCTATCTGTCTCTTTCTAGTCACGCGCTGGGATTGGCTGCCGCGCCAACGACGATATAGCTATACATTTTTCTCCATCCAATTCAAAGAAACTGTCATTGCTAAAATGATCACTGCAAATATATGCTGTTTTCACTTCAAAATACAAAGGTAGTTGAAGTATATTCAACCATTTACGCCTTATATCTACATCCTTCGGAAGCCTACAACATTTAGATATTTTTTTAAATGTAGGAAAAATAACATATAATTATTTGAGGTTACGTATTTGTACTTTCTTACGAGTGAAAACTGCGGTTACATCCAGGATAAGACTCCGCCTTGCATTTCAAACAATGCCTCATTTTTAAACAAATCGCGTCCAATTATTATTTTGTTAACGTTCGAAT